CTGGCCTTGAACTCACAGAGATCCTCCTGCCTCTGCTTCCCGAGAGTGCTGGGATTAAAGGTGTGTGCCACCACGCCCGGCGAAACCCTTTTTTTTAAATTTTTTTTTAAATTTTTATTATTTTTATTTTATGTGTATGCGTGTATTGCTTGCATGTAGGTAAGTGCACCCGTGTTGTGCAATGCCTGCAGAGATTAGAAGAGGCTGTCGGATCCCCTGGGACTGGAGTTACGGACAGTTGTTAGCTGCTGTATGGGTGCTGGGATTCGAACCCAGGTCTTCTGCAAGAACAACCAGTGTTCTTAACCGCTAAGCCATCTCTCCAGCCCCTCCCCTTTTTTAAGACAAGGTCTCATTATGTATCCCTGGCTGGCTTGGAACTTGCTATATAGAGCAGGCTGGCTTCAAACTCATAGAGTTCTACTTGCCTCCATCTCCTGAGTGCTGGGATTAAAGGCATAAAAGCAACCATGCCCAGCCTCCCTCCACATTTTTATTCAACCATTCCTAAGGGTAACCACTATCTTGAATCTATAGATTCATTTCCCTTTTAAAAAGACTATATGGCCGGGTGTGGTGGTGCATGCCTGTAGTCCCAGCACTTGGGGGCAGAGGCAGGCAGATCTCTGTGAGTTCAAGGCCAGCCTGGTCTACATAGTGAGTTCCAGGACAGCTGGGGCTACAGGGAGACCCTGTCTCAAAAAAAAAAAAAAAGACTATATATAAGGTTAGGCACAACAGACCACACCTGTAAGATCACTTGAACCCAGGAGTTCTGAGCCAGCCTAGGTAATACAGACTCTGAATGAAGGAGTGGATGAATGAGTGGATGAATGAATCTATAAATGGAACCATGAACTCCTGTGAAACTATTGCCTTACTCTCAATATGCTGTTTGTGAGCCTCAATATTGTAACCCAGTGTGGTGGCCAAAGGCTGTAATCCTGGCACCCAGGAGACAGAGGCAGGAGGATAGCCAGGTCAAGGTCAAGCTAAGCTGCATAGTGAGACCCTGTCTCAAAAAACGAAGCACTGGGGATG